TGCGGCGAGGTGCGGCCACCGGCCGCCGCCCGCGCCCGCGCTCCCCCGCAAGAGCAGGGCAGAGAGCCCCGAGAGCCGCGTTCCCTCCGGGTGCAGCGGGGCAGCGAAATCAGCCCACACGAGAATAAAACACGAGGGGTCGTGACATTTGCCCGGCGAAGGCAGGGGGACACTGCATCACTTTGTGCTGACACATTGTCGTCATCATCAGCACAGCCAGGGCGAGAGCGCTGCTGGGCTCCGGCTGTCCTGGGCGCGATTCTTTCACCACATGGGGATTCAGACCAGCCACTCCAGGTCTGGTAGGGCTGGTGTGGCCCTGATGGGCCAGGGAGAGGCAAGGATGGTAGGCGAGAAGCGAGGATGGTCCAAGAGGTCAGCGAGAAGCAAGGATTCTTGCAAGTGTTATCTTTTATTGGACCCACTGCGTGGTTGGGAAAGTTTTAGACATGCTTTCAACCCCAAGAAGGATGCCCTGCCTTCCAAAGCCTGGCTTAGTCTCTTCTCAACCATGCTCTTGGTCCAATGGGAGATTTAAAAAAAAAAAAAAAAAAATTGCCCACAAAAATCCTTGCCTTCTACTAAATTCTTCCCGTTTAGAGGGAGAGGTCTTCCTTTTTGGATGAGTTTTCAGATGGGCCTTGCAGTTTTGTGGTGTTGTTACGGTGAAGGATTTTTCTGTGCATATCAGTGTCTCATAAATCTTCACTGTAATCTTTCAAAATCTCCCTCATTTATATCCTCATAGCTTGGCTGTCCCACAGGGTAGTCTAGAATCCCTGCTCAGACCAAGTCCTATATTCTGGAAATCACAGTGGGGAAGAGAGGGTGAAGGGACCTTAAAAAGGAAACAATGAAGGAAGTAGGTAGAGAAAAAAGATTAAGAGAGTGGAACATGGTAGCAGTTTCCAAATATTTGAAAGGCTGACAAAGAAGATAGGAAACACTGTTCTCCATTGGCACAGAGGGCAGGACAATGGGCAATGAGTTCAAACTGCAACATATTACATTTCGATTAAATCAAATTGTCATTAAATCAAAAGGAAAGAAACCTCAAGTGTAAGAGCTGTAGGACAATGGGACAAGCTGCCCGGGCTGGCTGTGAAATCTCCTTCACTGGAGGTTTTCAAGAACACCCTGGATAAACATGCCTGATGTCACAGCCATGTGGGCAAGGGATTGGATTAGGCAACGCCCCCCCAGGAGGTCCCTTCTATCCCTTTAGTTCTATATTGCTGTACTGCATGCATGTGAATAGTTACACGCCCTGCCCCCCCCCCTTGGAATCAAGACAGCACAGGAAGCACGAAAATATCAGACATCAAATCTGCTATTTACGTTACAATCATGGTAAGGTAAAGGTTTCATTGTGTTTATGAGCTGTATGTCCGGACATGAAGGGAAACTGTATGTCTGTTCCCCAAAGAAAAGAGGGGGGGGAAAAAACTAACAAGAGGTGGAGTAATATTATTAAATCCATTTTAATGAAGAACTGAATCACAGAAAGGTTAAATGACTTCACATGGGAGGTAGCAGAGCCAGACAGATCTTCTGAGCCCCAGTTCAGTGCCTTGCTCACAACCCTTGCTCATATATTAAATAATTACATAAATAAAAGCCCCATCCTCTCTCACAGGTAAGAAATAGTAAAATGATAACAATACCTGGCTCTTACATAGCATTATTATTCCAGTAAATCTCAAGGAACTTTAAAAAAAAAAAAAGATCAGCATTACATTGTTATTTATTCCCTTTGAACCTGATTCCCAGAACTGCCAAGCCCCTGAAGTTCCCATTGTCTTGTCTTCAGGTGGAATTATAGATATTCAGTGGCTAAAAATAAATAAAATAATTAAAAAAAAAAATTAAAAAAAAAAAAAAAATCAGATTTTACATACTGATCTCCCAAGAGATTCAAGCACTTAAATTTGTCCCATAACACCATAATCAAAATTGCTCTACTTCCTGTAGTAGGTCTCTTCCAATGCTAGGAGGAATGTTTCTGCATATACATTCAAGTTACTCACCTACAAACCATGTTTCAGGATATCAGGAACAAAAACAGGCCTTCCACCTTTGTTAGCTACACACCACTAGTACAACACTGGACACTGGTATGGGTGGATCCAGGATTTTGAAACAGGGAGTGAAGATGGTGTGGCACATCACATAGCACAAAACATTTTTTCTCCAATTAAAGAAAACTAGATGCTTTACTAATGTGCTAGGGAGTTAGCTCTATTACTCAGTTTAAAATTAAAAGCAAAAACAAATAATTATTAGAATGTGCACTGATTTGCTAGACTATACAAAAAAGTTTTTTTTTAAAAAAGCACCACAAACTAGGCATAAAAAAGTCAAAAGATATTGAATCATTAGTCCTGTAGTCATTATAGTTAAATATACATCTCTTATTCAGATTGAGCATCTTGACAGTGCCTCCAATACTTCACTGTCACTCATTTCTACACCCCAGTTAATATTGCCACACTTAAGTTTCTTAGCTAGAGATAAAATCTGCCTGCAGAGCTGTGGAATAGAAGAGACATTACCAGGAATACTAACAGACAGTAAAGTTGCAAAAGAAAGGATAGCTGGAATAGCAGAACGTCAAAATCATTAGAAAGGATAGAGGGTTGTTAAACACCTGTGGAGTGGGTAGAGATTATCCTAAATCAGCCTGAACTCAATTGAATCCCTCAGGACTGCCCAAGTAAAAATGTTGCTGCCCCTCCCAGAGTTGGTTTTCAAATTTGAGTGGAGAAGGAATTACACGGGGGGTGCACCACTGCACCCTGCCTAAATCTGTCCCTGGACACTGGTTGTAACACTCCCAAATTATCTGGGGGTGGGATTTTCTCAGTTACCTGCCAAGTTAGGCCTCCCCTCAAGTTGCCTCCCACAACAATTGATGATAAACAATTGAATGGGAAGGGTTTAGTGTTGTTTAATACAGGGGTCCCACTTGGGGTTATTCACGGATCTGAGAGTGTTTGATGAAGGGGGTCCACCTCCCCTACACCCCCAACCATGTGCCAGCCATTGGTGTTGAGATGGACTGCTGTGGTGTTCTGGCCCAATCCAGGTTTTGACCCAAGGCAATGCTGAAGGCACTTCCTAGCCTCGTCCAGATTATTCTCTTGACTCCTTGCAGACAAGGAGTTAATCTTGGGATCAAGCCCTGACCTTAGGACTCTGCTGATCCTAGGCAGCCTTCCCTCAAAGAAAAAAACCCAAAAAGAAAGAAATGAAGAGGAACCTCTTTCCTTGGAGGGGTGCCTCTATCCGGGCTAATGCCAGTCTTAGTCTGCCGGCAAATAAGGCTTCACTCCCTAGCCTCAGGAGTACAAAACATGGACTGTTTGATATATTGAGCCCTGGGGCTCCGACACCTCTCTGCCTCAGTGTTCCGCACTTGCCGCTGCCATCACCGGTGCAGAGGCAGGCTCTCCTTCCTTTCACTCTGGGTGTCTTAAATATCCCGCAGCGGCACCGGGGGCTGACATCAGCCTGGCACTGCCCAGCTTGATTGACAGTTGGCTCTTAAAACTGCAGCAGTGGCACCATGCATTGTCACCGCCCTGCCACTTCCTGCTCTGGGGGCGAGTTTTGCGTTTTATTATGGGCTTGTTCAGCCCATTTGGGGTTCTGGTTAGTGCCCGTGTGGTATCTCAGGCCCCTATCATTATATAACCCCCCCTTAAGTCACCTCTTGGCATCTGCAAGGGTGTCCTCTTGCTTAATACTGCTTGATGAACCTTCTGGTGATATTCCAGCACTTTGTTAGGCATGCCTTCCTCTATGACGCACCTGGAGAGAATATCAGCTACAGCGTTATCCTTGCCTGGTCAATGTATGACCGTGAACCTGAAGGGCTGTAAAGCTAATGCGCAGTGAGTAATACAGGCATTATCAATATGAGATTGTGTCAGCCACTGCAAAGGCACGTGATCTCTGACCACCGTAAATTCTCTTCCCAATAAATAATATCTAAAATAATCTATAGCCCACCTTATGGCCAGGCATTCCTTTTCTATCATCACATACCTGCTTTCAGTGAAATTGAGTCTTTGATTTGTGAATTCTACCAGCCGTTCTTCCTCCCTTCATTTTTGGAGCAGTACTGCACTGAGTGCTTTGTCAGAGGCATCTGTCTGCAAGACAAAAGAGGCTAAAAAAAATCAGGGGTATGTACCAGCACCTTTTGGCATAATGTGGCTTTAAGGCTTAAAGCTCTGATAAATTTGAGGGGACCACTTGATCAAGCCCGTAATTCTCCCTCATGAGTCAGTCAGTAGCACTGCCAACTCAGCAAACTGAGGTATGAACTTTCAGTAATAATGTACCAGTTGCATATATGAACGCATCTGCCACCTTGTTTGTGGAGGTCATAGATGGCAGATTGTCTCTACCTTGTCTGTCAGTGGTTTAATGATTCCTTAGCCCACCTCCCTTCCCCTGCACCCCTAGCCACATGCCAGCCGTTGCTGGGGGGGCACAGCGACCGCCCACAGGTGGCAGTGGGGCTTGTGAGTGGGGAGCTCCTGCAGGTGGCGACTCCAAAATCCCTTTCCACTTCTGTGCTGCTGAGAGGGTCACTTCCCAGCCAGTAGATGTGCTGGATAGTTTTGGGCCCTAGGTGCAGCACTGCACTTGTCCTTGTTGTACTGCATCCTATTGTGTACTGCCCACTTTTCTAATCTGTCCAGGTCTGCCTGCAATTGTTCCCTACCCTTTGGAGCATTCACTTTGGCCCACAATTTAGTAGCGTCCGCAAACTTGGACAGAGCACACTTCACACCCACATCCA